AAACATCTCGTGACAATTATTACAGTTTTAATACTGTCATATCAAGGACTAGGAATAGCTCAACTCTAATAACTAGATCAAACATCTCGTGACAACTATTGTAGTTTTAATACTGTCATAGCAAGGACTAGGAATAGCTCAACTCTAATAACTAGATCAAACAGCTCGTGACAATTATTACAGTTTTAATACTGTCATAACAAGGACTAGGAATAGCTCAACTCTAACAACTAGATCAAACATCTCGTGACAATTATTACAGAATTTTAATACTGTCATAGCAAGGACTAGGAATAGGGAAACAGGAGAAAAAGCTACAGACCATCAAGGCAGAATTAAAAGAATCATTTACCTAATACTTTTTAACAGTCACAGAGTTTTATAATAAAACTTTGTAAGAATTTTGATCGTTCTTTAAAGTTGTGTTTTGTTAACATCATATTTTGTATTTCTCGACTAAAAAAAAGCATGATTATGTATAACAAACGAATCTTTTATCATTAAAAGCATTTCATGCTTTACTGCCGGTTTACTATACGACTGAAGTGCACAATTGTATGGAAAAGTAAATTTATTCTCAATAATACGGGAGGAGGTGTTCTTACAAAATTGTACTAATATCACCCCCGTAGGTATACCGGTACCGGTACACCGTTATAGGTACTGGTTTATTCTCTACTAAATATCGCCCATGTATAATATCGTCTCCCATGCTATTAATGTGCCAAGTTCGAATTCGGTTTCATTCTTGCACTTTACTTATATATATATATAATATTTTGCTTCCTGTAAACTGGTATGTTAGGAAGCAAAAGAGGCTGTTTAATGTAACTTCAGGAAGGCGCGACTGTGAAAATAGTTGAGAAAACTACGCGCATTAATGCTAAAATGTGATGCTTTTGGCGGAGATATAAACTGCGCCTTTGGTTAGAGCAACCGGGTACGGTAAGACATTCACATATTTTGTATAATTATATTTTAGCGTTTTGCAAACCAAATTTCGATGTTTTGCAGCTGAAGTCAGAACTTTTTTGAATGATCATCTAGCAAGGTCACTGAGGATGGTACAAGACAAAATTGAACTTGAGAAAATGAAAGTTCTATTCCCAAAGTAGGTAGTGCGCCATCGACAGTGAGCCGCGCGTGCCGACTGTAGGATGGTTTTTTAGCGCTAATTTCGGCCAGCACAAAATTCTTGAAACATGTAACTATCGGGAAAGTTTAAGGTCGTCATCGAATTCATGTTTTACTAGCCTGTCACGTGACCAAAACGGTTTTTTGCCCATACCTCTCCAGGGAAGCATTTTTACCCTACGTCATGGGGGGTGATTCGGAATCAGCGTCCAAAAATACACCGATTCAGATCTATTTCATACCCAAAGGGCCTTTTCACAAGAATTTTCTTAAAATTTGGGCGAGCGATTTAGTAGGAGCGAGTTGTGAAAGCCCTATTGGAAGGTCGTCACGAATTTTCAGAATGATCGAATTCAAGGAACTGAAGATATATCAGAATAATACGACAAAAATCAACGAATTTGGTCAAATTACGCGACTTTTACAGTTACTTTTGCTCCGAAAGCTGCGCACCATCAAATATGGCACCTAGGCGTCAGGCAAAACTCACTGATCTTTCCGAAAAGGTATAACAAGTTTTACCTGGGGACCTCACTCCTCAGTCTATCATGTTTATAAACATAGCCGAATAGAGATTAGGCGGAATGACAGGCTGAGCGGCGAGCGCAGCCCAGTAAAACAAATTTGGTACTGTAAAAATTCTCATGCAGTCTCTGCTTCTAGAAAACAATGGTAAAATTTTTAAAATCCGAGCAAGTTTATTTTTATCGTGCACCCCTACCCAAAGAAAGCTTTTATTTGATAAACGGACAATCATCAGAACACAGAAAGGAAAATCAAAAAGAGATTTTGGATGATTTTTAAAAAGAAGCTTTTCTGCCGTTTTGCGTTTCCTTGACCAAAATTTCGCAGTTTTGGCTGAATTTGTTACCAGTGACCAATCAGTGAGGTCAGTGAAAGTGATATGACACCTAGCAAGGTCACTGAGAACTAGCGTGCTAAATCACTCTACATACAGTTACTGGGCCGCGCTCAGCTTACCTGGGGACCTCAGGCTATTATGTTCATAAAGAGAGATTAGGCGGAATGACAGGCTGAGCGCGGCCCAGTAACGCTCAGCCGGTCATTCCGCCAAATCTTTATTTATGTTAATGAACATAATAGCCTGGGGTCCTCAGGTAATAGTTAATACAATTACATACAGTCGATCTTAACGAGATTGTTCTAAAAGGCCCCTCGACAGTTGAAACCAACTTTAATCGATGTATTTTTGGACGCTGATTCCCAATTACCCCCATGCAATGACATAAGGTTAAAATTCTCCCCTGACGATTGACGAGATATTGCCAATAATAATATTATTGGCGAAAAAATGTCTCGATCACTTGATATGACCGTATAAGGAAGTTAGTCTAATTTCTCGTTAGAGTTATGGTTTCGGCATATGCGTTTGTTAAGGATTGGGTTAGGGTTTGACGGATGTTACTCGTCTAAATTTCTTCGAAGTAGCGCGCGCCGCTTTCTTCTCGACGGCACGAGCTACGAAGTAGCGCGCGCCGGGCCAGATCATTAACAATGGTCAAGTTAGGGTTAGAGTTGTGATCAGATTATAGAGGGTTAAGGTTTCGAATAATCGTTCAAGGCCAGCTAGAGAACGGGTTGAAAAAGTCACGTGACAGTTGAGTGTAGAGTGATTAATCATCATCCCACTGAGGATGACACAAGACAAAATTGAGGTAATGAAAGTTCTATTCCGAAAGGAAGCTTTGATAAACGGGAAATAATCAGAAAGGAAAAAGAGATTTTTGAAGAGACGCTTTTCTGCCGTTTCCTAATTCCTTGACCGAAATTTCGCGGTTTTGGCTGAATTTTTTACCAGTGACCAACCAAAGTGAGGTCGGTGAGAGTAACACCTAGCAAGGTCACTGAGGATGGCACAAGACAAGATTGAGCAACTGAAAGTTGAAAGTTGTATTCCCAATCAAATTATTTATTCATAAATATGACTACCTTACTCGGGAATATTATGACTGGGATAAAGTAGTGGGTTTTGGAAAATTCCGCCATATTTTTCCCGGTCATTAATTTTCCCAGTCATGAGTCATAAATTAGCCCGCTATAATATTCCCGAGTAAGGTAATTAATTCGTTGCATACCAATGATTAATTTATCCACACTTATGATAAATTCAGTCACAATTATGATTGATTGACGACAAGTAAAAATATTAACTTATAAGAACCAGTAAATCAAATAAGTTTTAAAATATTTACATTGTCAAAAAAAAACATTACAACACTGTTCAGAGGTATATAATCAGCAGATATATTCAAATTAACGCTGTTTTCTGTTAAAAGTAATTATATCTATATTCGGCATTATGCATTATTATTATTCTACGTCAAAGTGTTGTTTCCAATCATGATAAGAAGGTTAAGAGCCTTGGATCACATAATTAAAAACAAGACTGCAGTTAAATTACAAAACTAATTTTTTATTAATTAAGGTAATTTAAGTAGAGAATTAGTTTTCTTTGTTATCTAATCGGAGTCTATCGTTCTGATTTAAACATCTAATATCTATTAGTATTAAATGCCAGCATGAAGATTATGGTTAATGACGTGAAAGTAATAACTAAAAGCAATATTAATTAATATGTCGAAATCACGATAGTATATTAATTATTAAAGCTATCTTGTATGCATCATAGAATGAAATAAGTCACATTTTTCATAACATATCCTCGTCGTCAAATATCAATAACCAATGGTAACTAGCAAAATTGCTATAGAAAAGTCCTTACCATTTACAGTGAAAAGTAAAAGAATAAATAAATAAAAATTATCATATAATATATCATTTTCAAGATAAAAATATTATACATGATTTCATTAAAACAGCAATTGCTACTGTGTTACACTTTATAAGCGATACATGCAGTTATTGCAGGGCCAGCGTGTTTGACAAGTTGAAGTAGTTTGATTTACTATTAGTAAATCAAACTACTTGTATTTACTGTAAATTACCCAAATTACTTATTTACGGTAAAACGCCGCAAACCGAACTTGGGAAAAATTCATGATCAGACCAGCTAAATTCACTTCAATCTAACATCGATTATTTATTTCTTGGGCAACTTATTTCATTTCCAGGTGAAATCTATATTTTCATGAAATAAAGCTGGTTTGTCGCTTGAGGTATCCTCGCAAATTAGCAGTGTTATTAAATTGATAACAAAAACGCCTCTTTCTGTATCAATATCATAGGCCCATGTCAGGTGACGCACTCATGTGTCACGTGTGCGTCACGTGTGTGTCACGTGTGTAACACAGTAAACCAATCATTGTGCCTGTGGCGCGCTAGAGAAATAAATATATCAAGTCTCACATCCATGCTTAATTCTGGATTCAAATACAATCAAAATAAAGGTCAGAGAATTCATCACTCGTCATTCTACAGTGGCCCATTCGGGTGAGTTTGATAATCTAATCCTAAAGTTGTTTCGTCATTCAACTCCAGTCAAGGTAGATTCTAACAATGTGTATCCTATTAATTCCTATTAAATCTACCGGTCTCCCAAGTTTCGTGAGACATTTTCTCGAACGAGCAGTAGGATTTTATGAAATAGACGGGATTGTACGCAGCAGACACCTTTCAACTCAAAAGAAATCAGTATAGATAATCGGGCACTAAACAAAATCATCTCGTTTTTAGGTTGCGTAGGATGGTTTATTTGAGGCCATTTGATCGTTCTTACTTTTGTTATGTGAGCATACTGCACTGATTGCTACTGTAGGGGATTGTAAGGGTATGCTTACTTATACTACTGCAGCCGGCAGCGTACAGACACGGCGTACAGACGCGGCGTACAGACGCGGCGTACAGAACTATAGTTATACTCGCTCGGAGTTTCTGTGATTGGGGCACGCCGATACTGACTTCTTGTGAATAGTTCCAGGTTGTAAATCAGAGCTCCTAATGACAGTTCTATTATTGGGGTCCCGCGGGATATAAGGAGGAGGTTCTGATGACGTCATGTGGTGGAGTGATGACGTCATGTGGGGATGGTTGACACGTGAAGGGTCTGGGATGGGGTGGGTCACGGAGGCGGTGATGGGTTTTAGTTGGGTGTGGGAGTAAGGGGTCCCGTCACGGTATCGGAGTGATTCAATGCTGCTGAAATAAAAGAGTTGTCAGAACTGAAATGGAAAAGAGAAAGGAAGTCATGTTGAGGTTTAGATCGATAATTTGAAGATAATTCGAATATAATTAAAAAAATATAAAGCAAACAATAAAAGGATGAACTTACCCGCTCTTGTATTTTCTGTAGTGATGCATGCTGATTACAAGGACAACAATAATCAGTAAGCACATAAAGATTACCACAATGATAATGTACATCGCATCTCCTGTAATAATAAAACATTCAAATAAAGATGGGCTACTACTAGTACTAGATATTAGACTTTTTCCAGAACTTCCATTGGCGTTAAAATTGTATTTACATCAGTGTATAATAGATAACAAGCAATAATTGAATGACACGTGATCACATCACGTGACCTACCTTTGTACCAAGCCTGACCAGGGGGGGTCTTCTTACAGAGCTGACCACGTAGTTTACTATCTGATACTGTGTGATCCTCTGGACACTCACTCACGCACTTGTGCTCTTCTGTGTAGAAAGGGTTGTTTAATGTTGGGCAGGCTTGATATTTTGACAGTTTTTTTGTAGTTAACGTAATAGGGCAGGTACGTAATGGGGCAGGTACGTAATGGGGCAGGTACGTAATGGGGCAGGTACGTAATGGGGCAGGTACGTAATGGGGCAGGTACGTAATGGGGCAGGTACGTAATGGGGCAGGTACGTAATGGGGCAGGTACGTAATGGGGCAGGTACGTAATGGCTTAATGGGGCAGGTACGTAATGGCTTAATGGGGCAGGTACGTAATGGGGCAGGTACGTAATGGGGCAGGTACGTAATGGGGCAGGTACGTAATGGGGCAGGTATACGTCTGATGTTAGCTAAACCAATTCTTTAACCTGGTCCTAACAGTAAACTTAAAAACTCTGATTCTGACTCAAACCTCATAGTAAACATCACATCTCTACTCACATCACTCTCAAGGAGGAAAACAATAGTAGAGATAAGATAATATATTAGAGATAAGAAAGAATACGGTAGTACTGACCGTAGTTAAGGAAGAGTTGGTCAGGACAGCTGGTACAGACATTGTAGTCAGTACAGGAGGCACAAGTCACGTGACAAGGCAGACACATTGTTTTGGAGGTGTAATACCCGAACTCAGGACACTCCTCTACACATGTCTTGGATCCAGTGTCGTCTGTGGAGTGAGGGGGAGTTGAGGAGGGTACTGTAGCCCGAGTTAACTTTCAAAATCGCACAATTTTATAATACAGTGCAATTTTACAATACAGTACAATTTTATAATACAGTGCAAAAGTCATATTTTTTGAGTTTCCTTGTTTCTAATCTGCTGTTTTGAAGAACCTCTAACATAAATACATAAATCTTACCTGATGAAATTAGGGAAAAGTGTTCACATTGCTGTGTAGAGTTGGTTGTGTACTTTGTTCCGTACAATATCAGTTCCACGTACGTTAGCTCACCTGCCAACAACAACTATCAGCAATCAAAATTAATCTCTGGAACAAAAGTTAAACATTCTGCGAACAAAATAAATCGAGTCAAAAGCAATGACTATCAACCAAACTTTTTAAAAAAAGAAAAAAAAGGGGAATATTCTCACCGTCGCCCTTGCTCTCGATGGTAAGAGTCCACTGCCCAGGTGCAACCTCTCCCCACATCTGCACGGAAAGGAAACTCCACTTGAAGAAACCCTGGTTATTTGTGTCAGACGGCCGTTCTGTGAGCAGAGCTGACTCTGTTCCGGCTGGAGATTCTAGGATTATCTTGAGGGAACCTGGAACATTGAATTAATATATTATTACGATCAGAATTATCTAAGAGTTTCGTTTAATAATTATTATAAACCCTGTGAAGTGCAAAAGGTCAAATGTTACTAAAAGGATAATTACAGCAATACATCACATTTGATTTATCAGAAAGCTTATTAAAGAATGTTGATTAAAGAATGCTTAGTAATGAATTTATAAATTCGTTACTAAGCATTCTTTAAAAAATTCAAAATCGGTATCCATTGTATATTGTCTATTTCCAAACTGTCGTACTCCTGCAAATACCTCTAAAATCGTGGTTGACACTCAGGACAACTTGGACATGTTCCAACACAGCGACCTCACGTGAGCTCCCTTTACAAGCGTCAGTTGTTATCCTTACCTCCAACTTCTGTCCCTCTTGTTTCCTGATCTGAGCGTTCCTGACAGCACAAACACTAATTATTCATTAATTACTAATTAATTACTAATTAAGAGTCAATTGGTGCTTGCTATCAGTCGAGCACGGCTCCATTATTATAGGCCTCGTAGAGATAATCTTTCTAGCTAGTCCGTGAGTGTGATTAGAGCAAACAAAAATGAAAAATAAACTAGCGTTGTCAAAAACAGAAGACAATGTTTGGTGCTATACTATGTCTTGTACTGACTCGTGAGCGAGAGATTGTCGGTCTGATACAATGGAACAAACATGTTGTTCTCCCACGTTGATCCAAGTTTTTGCAGTTTCAACCATTCTCAACGAGTCTAGAATTCCGAAGCCTATCTTGTTGTTGACCCGCCTGGCAGTAACATTTGATAAGTGCGTGATATTGTCACGTGATATTCTAAATTTCTAACTCCCAAAACGGTAAACCGTTTCGTCATCCTCACGACCTGCTGCTCTCACAGGAATCATGTTCGATAAACACGAGCCCGAATAGTTTATATGGTGATCCATGCTGGGGTGCGTGGAAGAAACTGGCAGTATCGTACACGTGCCAGACATGTGACGAGGGAAAACTGTTAGTTAAGGGGCCAGGGTGTATAGGTTAGTGATAATTAGTAAGGAAATAAGAACAGCGCCTTACGAAATACAATTTTTGTGTAAAAAGACAAGTTTATAAACAGATGTATTCAGATTGACGTTCTCATAATATGGGCAATAGAATCAGTGAACCTTACGACTTTTGTGGCCACTTAATTTTTTTTTGCTGACAGTGCTGTTATAGTAGAGTTATAAGATAATAATTTGTTCAACCTCAGATCCCTGTGAAGGTGGAAATTACATTAACCAAGAGAACGGATTTACACCATGTGAAGAAGGAATTCATACAGCCCTGGAGGAAGTGCTTCATCGTGTTCTAACTGTCCTTCTGGGAAAGAAGTGGCACCTAGTTATATTGGTACTTCAGAAAGTGACTGTTCTTTCAGTAAGTAATTTTTAAAAGGAATCGGGAATTTGACGGACTTTTATGTTTTGTTTGAACAATATCGATTTAACGACTTCAAACCGCGATTAATTTGGGACATTTTTTTTTCTTCAAATCATCAGGTCTGTCAGAAGTTTTACAATACATTTACTGTAGTCTGTTATACAAAACAACTATTATAATATTGTTCCACACCAGGGGAAGAGATAGGGGAAAACTTAATTCTAAACCTGTCGTGTGATGATGGAGAATACCTAGAGATAGAGAACGCAAAATACTGGGCACCTCATTTTTCGTTATGTACTATACTTGAAAATGCTTTTCCTCAAACTAGGGATCATTGCCGTTATAAGGTTTGGAGACATTAAAGAACATTTTTAATGAGACATAAATCATTGAAACTAATGAGATCATAGACAATTGAAGGACTGGACGTGAAAAGTATTGATTTTAAATTCTTCACGAATCAACATTCCTCTAAACTTCTAAATCCCAAAACGGTAAATCGTTTCATCATCCTCACGACCTGCTGCTCTCACAGGGATCATGTTCGCTAGACACGACCCCGAATAGATTCTATGTTGATCCATGCTGGGGTCAGTGGAAGAAACTGATAGTATGGTACAAGTGCCAGACATGTGACGAGGGAGAACTGTTACTTGAGGGGGTAGGGTGTGAAGGTTAGTGATAATTAATAAGGAAATAAGAGCATGTAAGAAATGAAACATTTTTGTGTAAAAAGAAAAGTTTATAAACAGATGTATTCAGATTGACGTTCTGATTGTTTCAGAAGTTCCAGTTGACGGAGGCTGGTCTGAATTCTCGGAATGGTCTGAGTGCTCGGCTGCATGCGGAGGAGGATCTCAAAGTAGAAGCAAAAGTTGTTCCAACCCTGCTCCAGAAAATGGAGGGGCTGATTGCGATGGAGACGATTCGGAATCTCAAGACTGCAATGCTGACCCTTGCCCAGTTGACGGAGGATGGTCTGACTTTTCTGATTGGTCTGAGTGCTCGGTTGCATGCGGAGGAGGATCTCAAAGTAGAAGCAAAAGTTGTTCCAACCCTGCTCCAAAAAATGGAGGGGCTGATTGCGATGGAGACGATTCGGAATCTCAAGACTGCAACGCTGACCCTTGCCCCGTTGACGGAGGATGGTCTGACTTTTCTGATTGGTCTGAGTGCTCGGTTGCATGCGGAGGAGGATCTCAAAGTAGAAGCAAAAGTTGTTCCAACCCTGCTCCAGAAAATGGAGGGGCTGATTGCGATGGAGACGATTCGGAATCTCAAGACTGCAATGCTGACCCTTGCCCAGTTGACGGAGGATGGTCTGACTTTTCTGATTGGTCTGAGTGCTCGGTTGCATGCGGAGGAGGATCTCAAAGTAGAAGCAAAAGTTGTTCCAACCCTGCTCCAGAAAATGGAGGGGCTGATTGCGATGGAGATGATTCGGAATCTCAAGACTGCAACGCTGACCCTTGCCCCGTTGACGGAGGATGGTCTGACTTTTCTGATTGGTCTGAGTGCTCGGTTGCATGCGGAGGAGGATCTCAAAGTAGAAGCAAAAGTTGTTCCAACCCTGCTCCAGAAAATGGAGGGGCTGATTGCGATGGAGATGATTCGGAATCTCAAGACTGCAACGCTGACCCTTGCTCAGTTGACGGAGGTTGGTCTGAATTCGGGGAATGGTCTGAGTGCTCTGTTACATGCGGAGGAGGATCTCAAAGTAGAAGTAGAAGTTGTTCCAACCCTGCTCCAGAAAAAGGAGGGGCTGATTGCGATGGAGACGATTCGGAATCTCAAGCCTGCAACGCTGACCCTTGCCTTTGGAGAGACGACAATAAATGTGGTCCGACGGTCCCCCTCGCGGATGGCTCTCCCAGTCAGTGTAACCCTGACCACCCATTAGGCGCTGTTTGCTGTTCTAAGTGGGGACGATGCACAAACAAACAAAAATGGTGTACTTGTCTTACCTGCGTCAACTACGGCCGAAGTAAGTCTAAACATAAAAGGCAGAAACTCTTACTTGGTCGATTGAATAGTTGGTTAAGTAGTTATTCACTTATAGTGGAAGGCCGATACTTTTCAACTAACTTTTCAATCAACCGATGCGAAGACACATGTACGCTAATTAGCTATCAATTTTCTTGGTTACCTTTTAAAAAGTGACTCCCCTGGTCCGTTATACACGTCTTTAAATAACCTCAATTATGATCGCAATAAGAACATTTTCTTCACATCACTTTTTGATCCCATTACAAGAACACTTGAATTTAACAGTTATTTTTTATTAATGTTTCATTAACATCCCTTCACCTCAGAAGAATTATCTCAAAACCTTTGGAGAGACGACAATCGATGTGGTTCGATGTTCCCCCTCCCGGATGGCTCTCCCAGTCAGTGTAACCCTGACCACCCAAAAGGCGCTGTTTGCTGTTCAAAGGGTGGACGGTGCTCATCCCAAGAAAAATGGTGTACTTGTCCTACCTGCGTCAACTACGGTCGAAGTAAGTCCTAACATGAAAGGCAGAAACTCTTTCGTTACGTCGATAGAATGGTTGGTTAAGTAGTAATACTTATAGTGGAAGGCCGACACTTTTCAATCAACTTTTCAATCAACCGATGCAAAGACACATGTACGCTAATTAGCTATAAATTTGTTTTGGTTACCTTTTAAAAAGTGACTCCTCTGGTATGTTATACACGTCTTTAAAATACCCACAATTATGATTGCAATAAAGCAATAAGACCATTTTATTTCACATCGTTTTTTGCTCGCATTACATGAACACTTGAATTCAACAGTTTTATTAGCATCCCTTCACCTCAGAATAGAAGTTAAGAACATATCGTCGCTTAGAAAAACAGCAGATGGGCGTAAACGAATTTGAAGCAGGATTTGGACAATTTCTCGTCGAGAGAGCACTAAGATTTTGATATTTGTAAAGAGGTCAAACATATTTGTTTGATATATGACAGTGCAATTCTGAGTTTGATCATTATTCAATACTGGAAGCTTATTTGTAGTTATTCGCTGTCATCTGTCACTGTCAGGAAATATGGATTTCATCCCCATTTATTATAGTAGTAGTACCCAGATCTGTACAATGCATTGAAAATATTTACAACAAACATTTTCGTTTTGTGTATTTTTATTACTATTAATATCATAACTTCGAAAAACTTTTTTATTTCTGTTCCATTTTATAATTCATAAGTTTACTTTTACTTAGAATTTCTTGAATTACAGATACGTTAAAATACGTTAAATAAGTTAAGTTCTACAGCAATTAAATTTAATTTCAAATGTTTCCCTAAGCTGGTTAAAGTATAATTTATTAATATTATTGTTATGAAGTGAGCTGATTAGAGCTTATACCAGGCGCACTATAACCATTCACTATAACTATAAGCTGCAGTAGTGAATGAAAATCTAGAGTCCGCCTAAACGAAACAATTGTCATACGTTGTATGACCCGCCGCGCATGAGTGCGCGGCTCCCCCTGTATCGTCGAAACTCTACACTATAGTGAAGCGACAGTGGGGGTCACCACGTGATACAATCACTATCAGTAAAATTGTTTTTTCCCTGTTAACCGGTTGTACGTATTTTAATGCAATGCGAAGTCTTGAGAATGTTAGGTTTATTTCCAGACCTGTGGTATTCAATTTTTAAGTAACAGACTAGGTCAAACTCAAAAAATATGTTATTTCCTTGGACTGAATTGGAAAATGAATATTATTTTTATCGTGTTGTTAACAACACAATAAGAATATAAAATTTATTTTATTTATATTTATAACATGTTATCAATATTTATAACATGTTATCAATATTTCGATGCACTCACATTTTACAGAATTTTGTTTGCAGAAACTTAATGTGGTGCTTAAGCTTAATTGCAACAAACGTTAAATTAGAGTCAGATGAGGAATTATCTGAGAAATTTTGCAGGAAGTTTAAATTTCTTCTAAATTTCTGTTAAATTGTAAAAAGTTGCAATTAATTAAAATGTAATTAATTAACATCAATCACATGCTGTAAAAATATCTTTGGGTTGCGTTCGGGTCAATACCTAGTAGTAGTATTTAGTGAATTAGCTGAAGTTTATTGAATCTTTATTACCGAGTACACTGTACAGCTGCCTTCGGGTAGTTCTTCTTAATCTATTACAATTGTAAATGAATGGGAAAAGCGAGCGACCGATTTCATTCTCGGTATCATTTTGTAATTGCATACGGTCATTCCAATTAATATCATTTCCTTTTGTTTGGGAAAGAGAGACACCGGCAGTGGTCCACTTTACCGGCCCTTTTATGGGTTTTGGTCAAATATTTTCAATTCATTGTACGGTTAAAATAACGCAACAGAAAATACCCGTAAGGCCCATGCTTTTATAGTTTAAGGTGATATGGTTAGGGTTAGGGTTGGGATTAGGGTTTATTTTGGAGCAAAATACGCTGCTTTTAGCTGTAACATAATGTCTGTTAATTGGATATGCTTTAAATTTTTCGGACACTTTCCTTGTAAGTCTATGAGTAAGCTTACCAAATTTTGTTGCAATTGGAGGTCGGGAAGGATACTCAATATTTATTTGTTTGAAGAAAATTGTGCTGGCCGAAATTAGCGCTAAAAAACCATCCTACAGTCGGCACGCGCGGCTCACTGTCGATGGCGCACCACCTAGATACATCAACTCCGATATCTTTGTATCACGTGGTGACCCCCACTGTCGCTTCACTATAGTGAGTTTCTACGATACAGGGGGAGCCACGCACTCGTGCGCGGCGGGTCATACAACGTATGACAACGATATCCACCAAATTTTTCGGACAGTTGTGAAAGCCCTATTGGAAGGTCGTCGCCAATTTTCAGAATGATCGAATTCAAGGAACTGCAGAAGATATATCAGAATAATACGACAAAAATCAACGAATTTGGTCAAATATTCCACGATCTGTACGAGACATTCCTCAAGAACAGAGACGATTACAGTTAGTTCCACTTTCACTTTCACTTTCACTTTCACTTTCACTTTCACTTTCACTTTCACTTTCACTTTCACCACAGGTGACGTCCATTGTTATTTCCTCCTATTGTTATTTTGTATACCTAGTTCATTTGATAAGACCCTTTTCCCGTTGTTACTTCATTTCTACTATCAAAGCATTTGAAACAAATCCAGCTCAATATTCACCAACTCATACAGTTTAATGCACATATTCAACATATTTGCACAGTTTTATGCACATATTATTTATATTAAACATATTAACATTCTTTAACAACCCACCAGGTACTATGCTGACCCAGTTCGATGAAGATGTGAAGGTGTTGTCTCAGATACCTCTTACTAAAGGAATCGTAGATCAGATGAAGGACACGAAGATGATCGACAGTATCAGGTGCCATATAATTACCCATAATTACCATATTATAATAACCTATAATTACCATATAATTACCATATAATTACCTTAAATTACATTTAATTACCTAGGTTCCATATAATTACCTACCTATGATATAATCTTACTTACTTGTTTGATGTAACCATGGTAACCATTGTTATCAGGTGTTCTAAAGAACACGGACTGGGTATAACAGAGAGTATGAGGGCCCCGGACCCTGAGAGTATGAGGGCCCCGGACCCCGGACACAGCCCTCTTGATCTCCAGCAGTCTCCTAATATCCACACACTCGACTCTAAGAAGGTAGGATAGTTACCATTAGTTATCACCAAGCCCCCTCCCGGGTTGCAACATTGCCATGTTACGCAAATAATTGCCGCGCTAACGAAATATTTGCCATCTTAGCAAAATATGCGCCGTGTTATGATGTATTTGCCAGGCTGCGCGTGATGATGCAAATATTTCATAAGGAGGCGAATTTTACGTTAGGAAAATGCGCATTCTTAGCAAAATATTTGCCAAACGGTCTGACGCGCGCTGCACGCTCCTTTTTAGTTTGTTTACGCGAGAATGAAATCTTCGCATTCTTAGCAAAATATTCGCCTCCTTATAATTTATTTGCGCGAGAGTTAAATCTACGCTTTCTTAGCAAAATATTCGCCACCTTATAATTTATTTGCGCGAAAGTTAAATCTACGCTTTCTTAGCAAAATATTCGCCACCTTATAATTTATTTGCGGGAGAGTTAAATCTACGCTTTCTTAGCATAATATTTGCCGCTTTATAATTTATTTGCGGGAGAGTTAAATCTAGCTACGCTTTCTTAGAAAAATCTTTGCCACCTTATATTTTACATAACTTCATTTGTGATAGGAATTAGGATCATATGCTGCTTACGACTCTGCAGTGGATCACATACTGTATACGTGGATTGAACTGACCCGAAGGAATTATGATCAGTGGATCGAAATACATAATATAACGTGACCGACGAATCGCGTCCACAAGATCACTTCGAAATAAGTAACGTGAACCGGCCTGACGAATCACTTGATGAGTTTATGATCCAAAAGAAGGATAGGATCTGACCTGAACTTGGAAATAAGATAGGATATTGTGTCGCACTGAATATAATAGAGTACGCTACCTGGATTGTAGTGCGACACATACTGTAGTCAGTGTAGTGCGAAAGATTACCTTTATAGTGTTAGCAGTTAAAAATCTAAACTTCATCCCGTTTTAAATATCAAACCACAGTACGAATTATTGCACTAATGCCGGTTATAATGAGGTCTAAAACACACGCTCAAAGTTAAAGTGTGTTTATATTTACCAATTAAACTTTAGTTGATGTTAACTTGTTAATTATAACTGTGTACGAGTACGACTACCTACCTAACAGTAACCGCTTCGATTTGTTTAACAAAACATCATTTTCCGAACTAGAGTGCGGTACCTATGACTTAGACTTTACTCCGCTAGAAACAACAAAATTTAAACAATTGGACAGTAGCGAATCTACCTAGCGAACTTTAGTGTTAGAACTTAGCGGTGACCGACAACTAGGAACCTCTCATTCCGGCCTCCCACAGCTAGGTATCACATCACATGGCCCAATCAGTGACGTATCATTTGTGATGTGAAGTATTTGTGTTTGAGAAGTGTTTGAGCTCTCGGCATGTTTTCACATAACGGACGTGAGCCAGGTCCAAAAGGGGCTGGTTCTCGTATCCAAGGATGTGAGCCGAGCATGCACTGAAGCGGAAAGCTGCTGAACAGCCCAAGGCAGTAGAGCCAAGGCGTCCGGATCTGCACAGCACTCTGAAGCGAAGACCTCAGAAGAATTCCTCCTTCCTTCTACATGCACCTCCACGAGACGGGACGAGCCCTTTGTTATCTTCGGCGGGAAGACAGATCGGAATGTACGAGTCGTTGCCTTCTCTACAGCCCGGAACCTTGCTACGCTGGCATGGTAGCAACTGGATTGCAGACGGCACGTTTTACGTCGCCCCGAATATATTCACCCAGAGCTATACGATTCATGCTGTTATTGACCAGAAATTTTGCTGTGAAATCAGTGGATACCTGAAGATTGAGAGATGGACGCCTCGAGATTGTTCTACAAGGGCTGTTTAAACCAACTTCAATCGGTGTATTTTCGAACGCTGATTCCGAATAACCCCTCATGACATCGATCACGTGATATGACCGTTAGTTGACCCGAACTAAAGTCAACTACCTTCTGAACACGCACTGAAGTCCACCAGGGAAATATATTGAAAAATCTATTTTGTCAAACTCAAAGAAAACTTCTTGTGAATTACCTAAGTTATGTTTGTAAACAGTAAAATAACTAATTCGTCAATCATGGATATGCAGATGATCCAGTTTCTCTCTAAACTTAAAACTTCGTGATATTTCAATCGATTTTACTCGAATTCTTTAAAAAATATTTGCCTAATAACGGTCTGACGCGCGTTGCACGCTCCTTTTTAGTTTGTTTACACGAGAATGAAATCTTCGCATTGTTAGCAAAATATTCGCCTCCTTATAATTTATTTGCGCGAGAGTTAAATCTACGCTTTCTTAGCAAAATATTCGCCTCCTTATGATTTATTCGCGCGAGGATTGAATATGCGCGTTTTTAAGTTCTTACTTCTTAGCAAAATATTTATTTGAACGAAAACTCAAAATTTACCGAGAAATCGACCTTTTTATTA